CCCATACAACAGTCAAGCCAGTTTTATTTGTCTTTTTTTTTTTTTTTAATGTAGCAACCTTTTTCTCTCACAAATGTAACAAATGTAAACAAAATATGTCAGTTGACCAAGAATTTGCCTGAAATTGGGCCACTTTTTTGTAGTTTGGAAAATGTTCGACTGCTGCAAGCTGTCTCCACTGTAACGTGGTTTCCTGTTATTGATGTAAAAGACTCAAAACCAGAGAGGATTGATTTCGCTAAAAAACGTACTGCCTGTGAGTGTAAACACAATAGTTTGCTTTTTCAATACCACATTTGGTTTGTTAGGAAACAGATTTAGACTTGCTTATTCTCGCAAGTGACATTAATAATAGGATTTTATCTGAAAATACAACATGTAGTAATCGTAAAATTAGTGTGGTGTTACGTGTTTTCCATACACAAACGTTTGTTCTTCACTCTGAGATGTTTGAGTTCAGCAGTGGCTGTCGGTGTAGAAACTGGATTGCATTGTTATGGTTGTGCTTCAGAACGGTCACAGCTCTGATTGTGGCCTTGAGCTGACGATAAACTCATTACACACGCGCGCACACACTCAGAGACCCCACCCCACTGACCTTTGATCTTTCTCAGTTGCTCACATTTGAAACCTAATGGCCTTAATCTTTCCTGTAGCCACTGTGAGAGAAACTGCTTCCTCCTCGTTTTATTCAATACTGTAAAAAATAGAAAAACAAACGCCTTAAACCCGGACAGCACTGCACTGGGTCTTCGGGTAACACTGTTCAATTCTCCTCAGTGAATCCTTTCTTGTAAATACGTCGCATGCAGAGATTCAACCGTAAACTAGACCTCACACTGTAGTGACTCTCATGACCAGTTCGCGGTTGCTGTTGCTGGTCTGTCCGCGTGGCTCCTGGGGCCTCAGGTGGTGGCTGAGGAGATGAAGGATGTTGTAAGCACAGTGGTGGTCTGGCAGTGAGGGCTGCTCATTGCTGGGCTCAGACGAGTCCTGCGGCTCTGTCGTGGCACCTGCTGCCAACGGGACGGAGTTTGTGGTGGGGGTTGCGGTGCCCGCCGCTGCAGCCATGAGGGAGGATGTGGAGGTGGAGGCTTCACCTTCCGTGCCGGTCGGCCACATCAGGTGCGTCAGCGGCAGAGAAAGGGTCCGGAATGCAGCACAGGTCTTCTGATGCTCCTCATTGTCTTTGACCTTGTCGTAGTTTAAGACTTTCCACTGCTGATTGACAGCCTGCCAGCGGTTAAAGATGCGAAATACGGAGGGACCTTCGTGGACAATCAGAGCTAAAAGAGAAGGACAGATGGATTTGCTAAGTGAGGGATAATGTACAGTCAGGCAGTGTCATGAACAAATGGTCCACCTAGGAAGCCATTCCATTTGCTGAAAGACTTTTTAATGGGTACTTAAAGGAAATAAATACTTTTATTCAGCAAGGGTGCATTCATTTGATCAGAAATGACAGTAAAGACATTTCGAATAAATGCTGTTCATTGAACGTTCTATTCGTGCCGAAAGCAAGTATCACAGTTTCCACAAAAATATGAAGCAGCACTGTTTTCAACATTGATAATTATAAGATTTTTTTTTTTGTGTGCAGCAAGTCAGCATATTAGAATTACTTCTGAAGGATCATATGAATTAAAGCTTTGCATCTCAGGAATAAATTACATTTTACTTACAGTATACTCGCATAGAAAAAAATGCAGCCTTGGTGACAAACAAATGCAGCCTTGGAGAACAGAAGAAACTTCTTTCAAAAACATTAAAATAATATTATTTAACTCACAGTTTGGACAGTAGTCTTTGTTAATAACAATTAATGTCTTTAAATTATATGCTTAAATCTTCCACTTTTTTCTTCCATTTTTTTCCCCACAAAAAAATCATTGCAGTGTACAAACAATCACCCAAGTACTCGGAGGTATTTTTTTGATAGGCAACTGAATACATAACTCAGCTGGCAGCAGTTGAGTTATGTTTCTTTAAACTTAAGAGTCCATGATGTGATATGAGAGACATGAAAAGTAGGGCTGGTTTCAGATGTCTGGATAACCGGAAATACCACACTATTTAATGGGAAGATTGACCTATCAGAATCATGTAATAACTAGTGGCTAGTTACTCTAATACTAATACACATAAAACTTCCCAATACATGGAGTTCTACTTTATTTTATTTAAAAACACTGAAAGTGAATACTTGTAGTTATACTCAATTACATTTCCCAGGCTAAATAATTATACTTTTTACTCCTCACATTTAATTTAGCTTTCCAAGGTGCATATTTCACAGGTCATCTTGACATTTTACAAGCCAACTGAATTAACATTTAATAATAATACTTAAGCACATGCTTATTCAAAATAACTACTTCAGTGAACAGTGCACCATTTTTTCTGTATTAAATTTTTTTTGGCATTTCATAACCTCTTGAATCCAGTGTAATTACACTATTAGCAAACAGGGAGTGTCCTGAGGCTACAAGGTTAATACAGACATTTTCCCCACACTTACAGAAAACAGTTTACTTCAGCATTTTAATTGCAACATTTAACATCTCAGTGACCTCATGGATCATGAAAATTTGCAGTGCACAGTGAAGAACAGGTGTTTTGGAAAGTGTTAAGGTGTTGTCAGAGTGATTTCTTTGTACTTTTATACCTAGGGTGACCATACGTGCCATTTTCCCAGGATGTGTCCTGGCCAGGATTTCTATATTGCCTAAAATATCTAGGTTTTGGCTTTGTTTGCGTGTGCAGACCGATCGGTGTATGACATCAAAGTACCATACAGACGGTTATGCTTTCGAAACGCTCTCGAGTTACTTTGATGTCAAACACTGATCGGTCTGAGCCGTGCTGTTTTTAAGTCGAACACACCTAATATGTACGCGTAATTGCATCGCTTTGACTGTAGATCCCACCTTCTCACACGCCATGATTGGTCCATTATGTACAATGCTTGCATGTTATTGGTCAAACTACTTTTCGATCATTACCTTCAGCAAGCATGAAAACAGGAAAACAAAGCCAAAACAAATTCTGGCCAGGACGCGTCCTGGGAAAATGGCATGTATGGTCACCCTATTTATACCTCCGGCTTGGTTTAACTCACACCATTGTATTTATTTCTTCAGAGGTCCAAATAGAAAGACAACAGTGATCTGCATTAATATTTTATGTGATACTGGGTTCCCCTCTGAATGTCTGCAAGAACTCTACACTCCATTTTTACACATGCGCCCGACTATTTTTTCCCTCTTTCAATTTTCACTCTCTGAGCTCTGATGACAGTGAAGCTCCCTTTTTTTGTTTTTTTTTACAAACCAGCTCTCTGCGAGTGTTAGATTACAAAGGCTTGTTTCTGGTGGAGTTGAAAGCGATCTCGGATGGCTGTGAAAGGCTAGTGCCCTCCCTAGAGCCCTGAGGTTCTCCTCTCACTCTAGCTGCTCCAGAATCAATGAGACAGACCACTAACCGACGTTATCACTGTACACTGCAGACCACTAAAACAGGCAGCGTATGAGAAGGTAATAACAACCCACAGTTTTCAATCGACTTTTCTACAAGAGCCTAAGCCAAAGCCCCAACGTTGAGAAAACTATACATGCACTGAATTTGTTTCAACGTTTATATCACATCAGTCACATTTGTTCGATTAAATGTGGGGAAGAGCGCTAATCCTGGAGTTGATGCTGTAGTGGTTACTATTATTAGCTTTATTGGAACAGATAACTGAAGTTTCAGCACACAGGACAGAATTAATGTATCCACAGTGGCATTTATATGCAGCAAATGTGCACGAGTTGAAATTAGGTTGTGGAGGAGTTTATTAGCGTTTCATGAAGATGCCTATGGCTGCTGCAACCTGATTTTCAAGACTCTGTCTTTCTCTCAGTCACTCTTCCCAAGTTGGACCGCACATCCTCTCATTACAAGGAGAGAATGCGAGACGTGTATTGATTTAACACACACACACATTTTCCTTTAGCTGAGAGGATAGCTGAAGGAAATTCTCAGGGCAAAGCTTGCATTTTAAACAGCAGTTTATTCTGCTGTAGTGTGGGATTTTTTTTTGGCTCCCAACCAGTCCCACAGTGGATGGGAACAGGGCTCGGCTGTGAAAAGCCACTTTGCCACCTGTCTCTTCTCTTAGCTTCACTCTCAATTTTGTTCTCGTTCTCCTTCCTTTTTTGTCCCCATAGGGCTTTCCTTTCAGATGAATCTGTTATGGGAGATTATTTTAAACCAATGACTATAATTAGGCACAAAATTCTGCCATATTTCAATATTAAACCGAAAGCTGTTGCGCAAGATCGCATCCCACCTAAGCAATATTGAAACGAACCACTATTGGGTGATAAATGATCAATTGCAAATTTGTAATGAGACTCCTTTAAACACTTTATTATTTATTTATTTATTGCATTCAGGCTCGTAGCCAGAGGTCCGGACCTCTGTAAATGTTTCATGTTAAAAAATAACATTTGTTCTCTGAATGACTAATTTGCTGTTTAAAACTTCTCTCATGAATGTCTGCATGTATAATTCAGTTTAGACAGTTTGCAAGAATGTTTAGCGTCCGTGGTATGAAAATGATCGCGGAGCGAACAAGTCTTTAGAGACTTCTGAGTGAGGCCGTGGGCACAGTTGCCAGATCCAGATATTATAAGCATTTTTGGACTTGTCTTTTCCACTTAAAGGAATACTCCACTTCCAAAATAACAATTTCTTGATAATTTACTCACCCCCATGTCATTCAAGATGTTCATGTCTTTCTTTCTTCACTCACAAAATTTTTAATTTTTTTGAGGAAAACATTCCTCAATTTTTCTCCATATAATGGACTTTAGTGGTGCTCAATGGATTGAGGTTAAAAAGCAGTTTCAGTCAAGCTTCAAAGGGCTCTAAATGATCTCAGCCGAGGAATAAGGGTATTCCGAAGAATAAGGGTCTTATCTAGCGAAATGAAAAAAAAAAAGTACAATTTATATACTTTTTAACCTCAAATGCTCATCTTGTCTAGCTCTGCAATGCGCATGCGTACTCTGTGCACTCTGGTTCGAAACAGTTAGGGTAGGTCGAAAAAACTCAACAGCATACGCAATTTACGTTCAGTGGATACTCTCCAAAATGGCGCCAGGGTGACGCGGAGGAGACGAATTGTTGAATAAAGTAGTTTTTTTTTCCTTTTGCGCACAAAGTATTCTCGTAGCTGTGTAAAATTACGGTTGAACCCCTGATGTCACATGGATTATTTTACCGATGTCCTTGCTACGTTTCTGGACCTTGATTGTGTAAGGACCCTTGTTGTCTATGGGAGGGTCAGAGAGCTCTCAGATTCCATCAAAAATATCTTAATTTGTGTTCCGAAGATGAACGGAGGTCTTACGGGTTTAGAACGACATGAGGGTGAGTAAATAATGACAGAATTTTCATTTTTGAACTATCCCTTTAACCCCACCCCAGCCCAGACCGCACTCATTTTCAAACCCTGGCTACGCCCATGATTGCATTGTCACAAGAAGTGACAGATGTGGAGATCTAACTATTGTTAGTGAACCCTATTAATATATCACTTTGGATAAAACGGCTAAACTATCTTAGATGATGACACTTTCCTTACAAAACTTACTGACCATATAAAAACTACAGCAATATTCACAATGTTGTTGAAACATATGTTGGCAGCAAATTTATTGAATCCATGCATTCTAGAAAAATATAAAAGAGGATGGATGTATGGATAGATAGATAACACATTAATCTCTGTTGTAGCTTGTATTTTTATGAGGAATTTTTATACTTTGCACTGCGGCACTTCTCTTGGTACTGCCAGCTTAAGATGTATTATATATGTTACAATATTATTTATGTTATATTGTATTACTTATTTGTAGGGTTGCAAAAAGGTGGGAAATTTCCAATAAATTTCAGAAACATTCCAGAAATTTTGGAAACTTTCCAGGATTTTTTGGGGAATCTTCCAGGGATTTTTGGAAAGTTTCCGAAAATGTTCCACCCCTTTGCAACCCTACTTATTTGTAACCCCAGACACAAACTGTGGACTTTCCTTGCATTTTTCACAATGCTTTTTGATGGAAATATGCAGAATTCTGTGAAATAGATTTTAAACTTGGAAAAAAATACTTAAAAAGAGATGAGAGTTCAGTTTACTGGTAACTGAAATCATCAGCAATTTTCCAAAATACTGTATAAACACAAACTTTGGATAAAAGCATACATTGATACAAAAGCATACATTGTGATACATTGCTCGTAA